TACGGTACAGCAGGATTTGAGCTGCCATCTTGACTTTTTTTGACACCCCCCCCAGAACCTCTTGCCATTTGCAAAACCAGTCCCTAAGCAAAAAAGACTGCTCCGTTTTTCAAACAATGGATATAGATTGAAATACAGATCTATCCCTCCACACCCATTATGCTATTCCTTTTGGGAGCAAGCAGCATCATGCAAAACATAGAAAAGGAGCAGGAAAGTGTAAAACACAGAAATTAAAGATACGGAGTAAGAAAAAGAAAGAAATGTAGCTAAATTTAGTTTACACGAACAGCATTCACTCTGCCTCAGCATCACTTGCTAATTGTCCTTGTTGCTACAGCATTCAAGCACTGCTCCGTGCACGGCCTTTTATTCTTCCACCTTCTCACCGGTCTCTTTTCCACAATCTCGTCAACTCTGTCCATCCATGTCTTTCCCTGCCTTCCATTTCCTCCCACCCCACTCGCTTCCTCTTTTCATATATTTCTTTTGCAAGAATATCACCCCATCATCTCAATGTACATTTTACATCCTTCTGATTTCAGTCCGCCTTCCTTCCTTACCCATTCATTTTTCTTTACAGACGTCTCTTAAGTTCTCTATTCCCACTTAATTCAATCTATTTCTGCTGACGTGCCCAATGCTCACTTCCGTATAACAAAGTGGGGAGAAGCGAACTCTTCTACACAGCCATTTCCATTCAACAAACATTCATTCTTGGCATCTTCCCATTATTTTTCTACCAGCATTTGCCCATCTGAACACTTTTCCACTTCCCCATCTTTACAAAATTTTCTTGCAGGGTACAGAAATCCATCTGCTTGCTCCAGTTTTTCACTGTTTAGGCATAACATTGCTATTATTTATCTCAGTTTCCTCGTCAAACACAACTATCTTTGGTACATCCAGACACAGATTCCTTGAAGCCTTATTTAATCTACTTAACATTTGCTGCAAATTTTTATTCAGGTTCCTAACCTAAACTATGGCATTGTCTGCATCCAAAAGTCCTTTCATGTTCTCAACCAACATGTCCTTTCATGTTCTCAACCAACATTCCTCTGATGCCACCACAGGTTTTCC